GGGGGGAAGGGGCCGGCAGCGGTTGGGGGGCGGGGTCGCGTGGCGGGTAACTGCAAGGAGGTGTGGGGTGAATATTTGCATGTATTTGCATAGGCGCGGGGCGGGGTAGAGGGGAATTGGCGTGTGTTTGCGAATGTGTATATGTGTGTATAAGTGTGTGTGTGTGTATGTGTGCCTGTGTCTACATGTGTCTGTATGTGTGTATAAGTGTGTGTCTGTGTATGTGTGGAAGTGTTTTTATGCGTATAAGCGTATGTATGTGGAAGTGTGCATGTGTGTGTATGGACACATGGGACACCCTGCCTGTGATATTAGCATACATTTGCATGCACAGGGCCAGCCTATGGCACTATCTGCATTCATTTGCTTACAGGGGGGTAGGGGTTTGTAGATGTGGCCAGAGCGGTGTGGATATTTAACCAAATACATTTATGTTGTATATGATATGTGTGCGTGTGTCTGCGCGTGCACACACACGCACGTGCGCACGCATGCACGCAGGTCCAATGGGTCTGGTCTGGGATTGGGGCCTGTCCCTGGGTGCTGCAGATGGCTCCATGGTGAGGGAAGGACAAAGCAGGCTGAGGCAGCAGCCAGGCGAGTATGCGCCTGCCTTGACTTGCACCCATCAAGGTAAATGTTGCGTTGGCTGAGGGCCCAAATGCAGCTGCTGCTGGGGCGGACGCAGGGCAGGGTGTTACCCAGGGGTGGCTCAGTCGGGATCAGGACCTGTGGGGTGGGGTGTGCATACCAGGACCCTGCACTGAGGTGCAGCCAGCTCTGGGGGTAGTACAACTGTGTATAAGAGGCCTTCCTCAGCCAGCAGCAAAATGCAGCCAGCTCTGGGGGAGCATGGCTAGGTATACCAGGACCCAGCACCAAGATGCAGCCAGCTCTCAGGGAAGGGGGGTAGGGGTGCACGGCTGTGAATAACAGGCCTTCCTCAGCCAGCACTGAGTTGCAGCCACCTCTTGGGTGGATCCCTACAGTGACTTCACAACCCCTAGCAACAGAGAGCCCACCCCCATGAAGCCAGCAGTAGCTTCCTGCCAAGTTTAAACAGATGAACCGGGGGGGAAGGAGGGGTACAGCCCTGCCCTCCGCACACGCCGACTAAGAGGCACGAGGTGGGGTCCATGCTGGGGGTGCGCATGCGCTGTGTGGGCGGCCACCCTCACCTGCCCCATTCGCCATGCATGCGCACGCCGGGCCTGCTTCATCGCTGCGCCGACACGCCCCTCCACGTTCAGCGCAGGAACCTCGTGCGCATGTGCAAGCCGGCTGCCCCTCCCTGGAGAGGGGGGGCTGTTGCATTGTGACACAACTGGAACGTAACAGTGGGGCTGAGTAACAACTTCCCTGGCACACCTCTGCACACCGCCTGGGGACACGGTCCTGCCCTCCACAGCATGGGGACATGGGCATGCACATGGCAGGGGCCATACGCACAGACACGCAAACATACAGAGCAGGGGGCAACACACATGTGTGCACCCAAACACAGAGCAAGGGATAATACACACACCCAAACACGCACGGGGCAGGAGATAAACAAACACACAGCAGGGGATTACACACACAAATACACAGCCACACAGGTGATAATGCACAGACACACACAGAGCAGCAGATAATGGACACAAGTACACACAGCAAACGCACACAGCAGGGATAAGAGATGTGCGCGCACACATATACACACGCACACACACACAATCTCTAGCAAAGGATATCCTCCCCCTCAAGCATCTGGTGTGCACACACACGTACCCACACAACCTAGGTGCCCAGGGTGCGCACATCTGCACACACACACACACTGATTGTTCCCAGCAGGACACACATGCACTCTCCAGCAGGGGGCAGCATACACTAGTATATGTGTGAACACACAGCATACGCCTGGCCACTGTGCTGATGTGGTAGGTGTGTATCCCCCCCCATGCTATGGCACAGCAGTTGTAAGCACACACACACACACTTCAATATAACCCCTTTTCCTGTGCACACTTATATGCCCTTTTCCTTTACACACTCTCTCTCCCTCTCTCTCATGCACACAGACACCGTTCAGTAAGCCTTAACACATAGGCTTCATCTACATACACACACACACACGCACACACACACACACACACATGTATATGGATTAATATATGCACACACGTCAGTTACACACACACACACACTGTGCTGTTACATAGGGTTGGCCCCCCTTCCTGTGCATGCGTGTGCACACACACACATTTCTTTTGTACACATTAACATGCACAAACTTCAGCTACACACACATTTACAGAACCATTTTTTCTGTCTATGCTATATAGCCTTTTCCTGCACGTGTGAACACACACACAGCCACATGCACACTTGCAGCTCCTTTTCATAGATTTCATAGATATTAGGGCTGGAAGGGACCTCCGAAGATCTTCGAGTCCAGCCCTCTACCCGAAGGGCCGGAAGTCAGCTGGGGTCATAGGATCCCAGCAAGATAAGCATCCAATTTCCTCTTGAAGGTGTTCAATGTAGGTGCTTGAACCACCTCCGATGGCAGGCTATTCCAGACCTTGGGGGCTCAGACAGTAAAGAAATTCTTCCTTATGTCCAGCCTGAAACGGTCTTGCAGGAGTTTATAACTGTTCAACCTTGTCATCCCTTGGGGCGCTCTGGTGAACATATGTTCCCCCAGATACCGGTGGTCACCCTGATAAACTTATAAGTGGCCACCAGATCACCCCTGAGCCTGTGCTTTTCCAGGCTAAACAGCCCCATAGCTCTCAGCCTGTCATCGTAAGGTCTGTTTTCTTGACCTCTGATTATGTGCATGGCTCTTCTCTGGACTCTCTCAAGCTTCTCCACATCCTTTTTGAATTGTGGGGCCCAAAACTGGATGCAGTACTCCAGCTGCGGCCTCACCAAGGCCAAGTACAAGGGGAGAATGATGTCCTGATGTCCCGGGATTTGCTTGAGAAGCATCTATGGATGCAAGCCAGCGTTTTGCTCACTTTACTAGCCACAGCATCACATTGCAGGCTCATGGTCATCTTGTGGTCCATGATGACCCCCAAGTCTCTTTCTTCCATAGTACTAGCCAGCGTAGCACTGCCGAGTCTACAGGTTTTTCCTCCCAAGGTGGAGAACCTTGCATTTTTCAGTGTTAAACACCATCAGGTCCTCATCGGCCCATTTGCTGAGCCTGTCCAGGTCAGCCTGGATCGCCCTCCTGTCTTCAGGTGTGGATGCTTTGCCCCAAAGTTTGGTGTCATTGGCGAACTTGGCCAGTCCGCTTCTGACTACAATGTCCACATCATTAATAAAGATGTTGGACAATATGGGTCCAAGGACAGAGCCTTGGGGGACCCCACTGGTCACAGGACACCACGGCAATTGACTTCTGTCGATTACCACCTCTGGGTTCGACATATACCCATCCCCCTACCCATCCTTCTCCTGTACACAGATACCTACAGGGCACCCCCCCCCCCACCCACCCACACGTGTTCCATCCCTACAAACCTAAGTTTTCAGGTTCCCTGCGAGCCCCTCTGCTGTCTGCCTGCCCCTCCATTCACCTCTGCACCTTCATCCACCCCACCCATGCACCCACCCATCACAGTGTGGGGAGCAGCAACCCCCTGGCCTAGCCACCCTGCCCAGCCCAGCCTATTGGCTCTGGCCTGGTCCCACCTGCCCCCTGGTGGCCTTACAGGGTATTCTGGCCTTGGGGTGGGCAGAGGGATGGACAGAGGGACGGACAGACTGATGGACAGACAGATGGATGAACAGATAGACAGACTCTACAGCAGGGACCCCGGCCAGGGGCGGTGGTGCCCCACTGGGTCTTCCTGTGTTTCTGGCCCCAGGAGTTCCCCGCTACAAGGAGTTCCTGGCTGGGAGCAGGCATTTCCCATGGTGGGTCTCGCCTCTAACAAGGTGGGGCCTCAAGTCTATTGAGGCCCCTCGAGGATAATGAGGTGGGGGCCTGAAGTCTAATAACAGGGTGGGGTGGGGCGGGGCGCAGCTTGGGTCTGGGAAGGTTGAGAACCACTGGTCTAGAGAGAGGGGGAAGGAAGGAGACGTGGGATAGATAGATAGATAGATAGATAGATAGATAGATAGATAGATAGATATTGGAGAAAGTTGGATGGATGGATGGATGGATAACAGGTTTATGGGGATAGAGAGAGAGGATGATGTGAATGGAGATGGATGGAAGGAAGGTTGGTGTGGGGGATGAATGGATGGATAGAGGATGTGAATGGAGTTAGATGGATGAATAGAAATGATAGACAAGCATACAGATGGGTGTGTTGGGGGGGCGGTAGACAGATATATGGGTAGGTAGGTGGATAAATAGGTGGGTAGGTAGGTGGAGAGATAGGTGGGTAGGTAGCTGGATAAGTAGGTATGTCGGTAGCTAGATTAGTGGGTGGATACGGAGGTACATAGATGGGTATGTAATTGAATAGGTGGGTAGGTAGGTAGGTAGATGGGTGTGTGGGTAGATAAACAGATAAGTGGGTTGGTAAGTAGTTAGGCACATCGATGTGTATGTAGGTGAATAGGTAGGTAGGTGGGTGTGCACATAGGTGGGCTGAGGGGGTACGTAGGAGCGGGGCCTAAATGCGTCTCATGAATATGCACGACCGCATGCAAGCACCAGCACTTTCACTACCGTGGTTGCCAAGGCGACCCCAGCGGGTCCTTGCTCTCCCAAGGTGGCGGCGGGGTGCGGTGCTCTAGCCCTGCCATCGGACTCTATGGTCGAGCGAGCGCATGGGCGAAGGGAGCAGGGAAAGGGAGAAAGGGCGCGCCGAGATCACATCACGCATGCGCCGCGGGGGGGGGGGGACTGCGCATGCGCACGGAGGTCTCGCGACGCA